ACCGATTTCTTATTGATGATATATATAAAATAAATTTAAATACCTATAATTAAATATCTAATAAATGTTTCAGATGGTATCAGTACGTAAGAAATTCGCACAAAAAACATTTATAATTTATTCATTGTACTCTAATAAATATAAAATCATAGTACCACCCAACTATAGAAGAACAAAATATGTTATACAGTCCAAGTGGGGTCAAATACCCAAATTATATGAACAAACGGAAAATATTTCAAGTTTATTACTTTAACATAAGTAATAGTTAAATAGTTAAATAATAATGTAACATTACTATTTAACATTATTGCTAATAGTTATCAAATTACAATGATTTCGCGTTTACATTTTGAAAACAAATAATTTCATTAATTTTCAAAATTTCATCCGCACAGACCGCATTGTAGGACCTACTCTGTTTTCCGATTACTGGACATGTCACAGATGAATCACGTACAAAAAACCGTTTTCCTATCTCACGCGACACGTTATGAATTGCATGCCCGTGGATCATATGCATGATACGCGTACAATGTGTTTCGTCACTGACAGTAGAATGCAACAAAACATTGCACAACACAGTCGAGTTGTGATATTAAAATCGAAAAAGTATATTCCTTCGTTTACCATAATGCTATGTATACCCGCTGTTATGTTATTATATTATCGGTACAAAATCGACGAAGCTATGGTTGGCTATAGACAAATCATCATTGTTATAGATATTACGTAGATAACAATATTCTAGGGGCGTGTTGCCATTTTGGGGCTGAATTATTTTTACGCCAAAAATACACGAAACTCTCTAACTAGGTACGCGTAATGATTTATTTCTTTACAGATCTCGCAATACTCGCGCGTTTTCCAAACATAACGTTATTATTTGAAAAGAAAAGTTCCAATTCCATGTACTTAAACAACTATGTAAATCATCAAAGGATTATATGATACAAACATATTTACGATGAAATTTAAATATGGTTTATGATATAATTATCAATAACAGTTTATTGATATACGACTGATAAGAGTGTGTATGATACATATAACTAACGAGTATGTATCATATATCGTTAGTTATAATATACGTTTATACAGACTATTTTATAAGTAAAATCGCGTTCTTATGATTTTGAAAATATTATAAAATTCAAGTACAGATTTAAATTAACAAAAATACAATGACAACAAATAATAATACACTTTTTTAATACTTTATTTTCTTTTTCACATTTCTCGATAACACGAGTGTCGTTACTTATTATGACTACTAGAAATCAAAATGTTAAAAAAAAAACATCAAATACATAAAATATAAAATAAAATATAATTCAAAGAAATTAAATATTTAAACAATTTTTTTAAGTACGAATACTTATTATGTCAGTAGAATATTTTATGGGCATTGTTGTTTGTTTGCGTTGCGTTATTTGGAAATGGTTTTAGACATATTTTTTATTTGTATTATAACATTAGTATATCACACCTTTTATGTAATAGAAAATTACATAGTATGATTACACTTTAATTTTAAACAGCAATTACAATAATTTATAATTTTTAGTTTTTATATAACATAATTTTTTTAGATGAAAAAGAAAGTTTTTACGAATATATTAGTCATTGTTAAAATTATTATACAAAATAAACATAATCATTGTAAAGTACAATATTATTACAATATAACATTTACTAATTCATATCCTGATATTCAATTTCTTAAATGTAATGTTATGTCAACAAAAAAATTGTATGGTTAAAAAATTAAAAAATAATAAGTACACCGTGGACCTCTACAGATAATATCATTATATGTATTAAAAATTAGTCGGAATAATGTCGAAATAACAGAGTGAATTATCTGTATCCTCTACCCGTTTGGCTTTTATACTTGGGTACAAACTTTGACACCTATATTCACTTTTTAAAGCCTTAAATTGTTTTCGGATTTATCAAACATTGAGAGAGATTAGTACGTCCTCATCAAAGTTCAAAATCTAAATTTATTGCATTTTGAATTTTGAATTTAATCTATTAAACGAATTGTAATTTATAAATTCAACTTTTTATTTTACAATTTTGTTTAAAATTAAAATACATTATTTGTGTACCTATACATTATTTAATGGAATAACATAAAAAATACGATTAAAAATACTTTTATTTTTTTACATTTTTTATTTATGATTGGAAATTGCAAGTTTTAGTACTTTACTTACTACGATCTCCCGATAAGTAAAAGACTATCAAAACTAAAATAAACACTAAAAAAAACAAAAATTTTCCTTTTTTTATTTACTATAGTATTTATATTTTATATATTTATCATTATTATATTATTATATTAACTATAAAAATATTTGGAAAGAACTGTAAATTGTAATAGTTTATAGATGTACTATACCTATTTGCAATGATTTATTTAGCACATAATAAAGCATTTTTTTTCTTACATAATTTTGAATTTTTGTGTACATACGTTATGAATATTTAACGGTAGCAAAAAACTATAAAATCGGACTTTAATTATAATAAATACCTGAAAACGGCTATTTGGTATTGTTTTTTTCAGGGACCAGAACTGTAACCGTAAAGAACCACTCCTGGAACCGGTTAACCTTTAAAATTTAAGAACTGTAACTGAAACCGGAACCTTCATTTCCAAAAATGAAAAACCGTAACCTTAATTATAAAAGGGTTAATTTAGGTCAATTATTTAAACTAATAAAACTATGGTAATGACTATTTTGTTTGTCCATTTGTCGGTTCAGAAAAATGAAAGTCAAATCTTTTTATGTTTTTATTATTTTGTGTTGTAAACTGTAACAGTGTAATGCATATAATAAGTAAATTTGTAATATTGTTATAATTATTTTTATATTTTTATTAATATATTAAAATTTGCAATGAGTACTATCTTGTCTATTAAGTATTAAATATAATTAATGTTTATAAAAAATTTGTAGCTACAATAGTAGCCAGTATTTTTTTAATTCCTAATTAAAATTAAATTTTAAATTAAAGATATTTATTTCATCAAATTATATTTCACAATATTAAAAAATATTTTACAAATTCTTTCTATGAGTTGGAATAAAATAACTTAACCTAACTCAGAGAAATATAATAGGCTGATATAATATATATATTTAATATATTTATAAATTTTTTTTAACTATTCATAATACCTTCTATTTTCATAAAATGAAACAATTACAATTTAAATAAGAATAAATAAAAAATTTCATATTATTTTTGAATAAACCTCTAATAATCAGAATTAATCGAAATTAACAGGTTCTAGAACCCCTATTCTTTTAAAAAACCGAAACCCTTAAAAATTAATTGAACAACCAAAACCGAAACCAGAATTGAAAAAACCTATAGGTTCCAGTCCCTGGTTTTTCTATTGAAAATATTATTTTAGTAACCGTACAAAACAAGCCAGACAATACTAAGATAGTAAAATAGCTGTATAGCAAATAATTCAGTTTTAATTAGCACTTTTAATTACAACAACACATGTTATGACAAAAAGTTGTGGTTAGGTTTAGAGTAAAATGTGAATTTTAGATATTTATAATACATTGATAAAATTTTTAGACAAAAGGTTTGACATAAGAACTGCTGTCACGATTGCAATCATATTTTTAATTTTTAATAACAATTAAATTTGTTATCGAAATCCAATCATAAGATACTGTTTGTGGACATTATTTGCTTAAAATTACAACTTAAAATATTTTTGTGGTTGTATATTAGCAAATAATATTTGGTAAAATTAATAAATAATTGAAAAGTTATAAAAAAATACGTCTGTAATATGACACCCTGAGTCGATATAACCTGTAGGGTTGCCTACTCTTACCGTCGGTACTGATGGAAAGTCGTCTGATAATGAGCATTTGTACACTCAGCTCATTGGACTTGCTCGTTTATACAAACGGCCAGTTTTAGGGTAGACTATGTTGACCCGGTGCGTACGAAAAATAATTAAGAAATTAATATTATTAATTATATACCTATTATACCTTTGTATTATAAATAACCAGTGATGTTTCTATCAATTTTGTTGAGAGTACACTACGTCCACGAAAGTCTGAATATGAAAATTTTTATGACGGTAGTGTTGGAAAAGTGTTGTAAATATTAAAACATTGAAAAAACAAAAAATTTAAATGTATACATTTTTATAGAAATAGAAATTAAAATGATTTCAATAAATTGATACCATCGTAAATATATTGTATACCTATCGTCAATAATTACTTCGTAGTAATACACTTACCGTCTGATGGAAAACTGATTTTCTATTACAAAATAAGGACAAAATTTAACACTGTAAAACTAATAACATTTAATATTTTCCCGCGAAGTGCTTGAGACTTGAGAGTATACGTAGTATACCCGTGAATTTTCAAAATAATGTTTAAAGTATACGGCATTCATGTAGTATACCCGGTGTTTCCTAACCTATGGGTCGCGACTAGCGACAAGTTCCATCAGGCAGTTCAGTATTACGATTATACTCGTACTGTCACATATTTTTATTTTTTTTTTAGGGTTAATTGAGGTGGGTCGCGTAACCAACTAGCATTTGCTGGTCGATATACAAAAAAAGTTGCGAAACACCGCCCTATGGGAACACCACTGAAAATAACAGTATACTTTATCAATGACGGCGTAGTTATTTGTATTAGTGGTATAACATAATATAAGTACGTATTTGGCATGGTAAATTAATTTCGGAGAAAAAATGTTGTTTGCTACTCCGAACGTTACTCTTTATCTACACGAAACGAGCCGTGTACTCGTATTCATTATAATTATAAGTTTTTTCGACTTTTCGACCGATGTTCTACCTACGTATACGTTATATTTTCGATTTGCGCGTACTCCGGTGAGAGGAAACATACAGACGAATAAATCGCGCCCCCGAATTGAACCCGACCGTAACGATGTTCGTGGAATTACGTGTATGTGTGCGCGGGACTTACTTTCCGCCGATCATCCTGTCGCCGCGGCAGCATTTGTTGGCGCACGTGTAACCGCCGCCGCTGCAGTATTGGTCGCGGGGCCGGCACGTCCTGGCCACGAGCCGCTGCTGGCCACCGCCGTCCGCCGACCACGAGAGGTCGAAACAATGGTCCGGCGGTGGCCACCCGTCCCGCGGCAACAGTTCCACCTCGTCGGCGGTCAAGTCGACCAGCACTTCTGTGGCCCCGCACTTGGGCGAATCGTAATCGTAACCCACCGTCGTCGTCGTGCCGTTATCGTCTGGCGCCAACCGATACAGCCGCTGCAGCAGCCGCCGGAACGCCAAGGGGACCGCCTCGTCACCACCCGCGGCCGCTGGTGGCCGGCAAAAACGTATGTCCGGGTCGTACGTCCACTCGGGCGCGCAGCACTTGCTGACGGGCACCACCTCGGCCGTCGACCAGTTCGCGCACGACCCGTCACCGATCGTCTCGATCCTGTGGAACGTCCGGTTCCCGATGCGACAAGCGGCTTTACCGTCGTTCGGACTGGTGCAGCACGCCGAGAACAGGACCTTGGTGGCGGTTACGGTGTCGTCGGCGCCCGAGTGGTACGGGCCGTACGTGATGACGAGCGACAGGACTGCGGCGGCGAAACACGATCGGACGGCAGTCATCGCGTTCGCGAACTGTTGCGGTGTTACGGGCGTCCGCGGCTGTCCGGTGTCGAGACCGTGTCCGCCGCCACCGCCGCCGGACACTCGCGCGCCGTATTCGCCGCGTATGCTCGCCGTATGCGGTTGGCGTCAGTGGATTGTTATCGCTTGCTCTTTCTACCTCCTGTTGTCCGTCCGGCGAATCGGAAATCGTTTATCGGTTTTCCGTCGAATTTTTATCCGTATCATTTAGTAATGCGCTCGGACGGAACCGACGATGGCGAAACGATTCAACTGAACGATTGTTTATATAAACCTAGGCGTCAGCGGATAACATTACTACTATTAGACAAGATTTCGGTTGACGTTTCTCGTACTGATTCTCTGTTTTCGATCGCGAAAAAAATGTGTTCGACTATTACACGTCTAGAGTAGATCACTAAATTGATCGGTTTTCGAAGTACCTATTAGAAAACGAAGTATTGACTAATTACGATTTGTTACGGGTTAGAACTTAGAACACACGATATCGATGTTATTCATAGGCGGACATTTGGTTGAATTTTTTTTTGGGGGGAAGGGGGCTATAATAATTCAATGTAAAATAATCCGCAATGGTTTCGCCACCACACCCCCTTCCCATACACAAGTAAAACTTATTACCATTAAAAATATAGATATGTTTAAATTGTATTAAAAAAACACTAAATAACTATTTTTATTAGCAAAGATACTCAAAATATCATCGCTTTTTAAATTTTTCGATATATCTTTTTCAATATATAGTATTGAAAGATTGCTGAACCTATCTTGAACCAACAATGTCCTTAACCAAGTTTTTATTTTTTTCGTTGCACTGAAACTTCTTTCGCAAGTAGTTAAACTATTTAATTGGTATTGTTAATGCTATTGTAAATAGTTTTTTATTATTTCTTATTTTACGATTTAAAAAAAAAATGAACAGATAATTATAAATAAATTATAAAAACAAGGAATAAAATTTCTAACAAAGTTTCGAATTTGGGGGGCTATTAAAATATTTGGGGGTCTAAACCCCCACCAATCCCCCTCTAATATCCACCTATGATGTTATTTCATAATATATGATAAACTAATCATTTTATCAAATATATGATTGTACTCTAAAATATAAATGAACAGAACAGTAGATTAAATTCAAGGGCGGATAGGCATAATCTGACCGGCCCGGAAAAAATAGAACACAGCGACCCACATGATTATATCCAAGTTTCAACTAAACAATTACCTCAACTTTGAAAGAACCGATACAACTATCAATACCTTTTTTTTTCCGACGTTCTTAAATAATATTTTAAATTATAATATATATTATACTATCCAATTTTACACATGTTCTGCTCTCTTCTAAGAACTCTACGATTTTTATCTCTTTTATTTTCTACACCTCCTTTTCTTTTTAATTCGTTTTGAAGCATACTTGGTTATACAACATTTTAGCAATATTATACTATTTACATGGTTCACGTATAATTATTGTGGAAAAACATGATATATCAGTAATCAACTTTGCCATGGGGTTTTATTAGTGACTATATATGATAATTGAAATCTGAACAATCAGTTATCATTATAGCACGGAATCATATGTATTAAAAAAAAAAAAAAAATTGCACTCGAAATTTTGAATAAAATTTAATTTTTAATTTTTGATCATTCAATTAAAATAATATATAAAAAAAATTACATTTAAAATTATATAACCCTACTGTAAATACTTTTTTTTCTTCTTCATTTTAAAGGAATTTATTATGATATTTATAGATTTAAGCTAGATTTAAATATATATTATATTTATTTACTTTTATTTGTATATATGTATTAGTAGTAATATTTTTCATCGGCCCATTTTCGTCAATATACGCAGCGGCCCACCGGGAAAATCCCGGTGTCCCGGCGGCCCTATCCGACCTTGATTAAATTAATTTGAGTTGAATTTTCATATTATAACCTTAAAGCTTAATAGATGAAACAGTTTTTTTTTTTTTACCCTATATGGTAGATTTTTAATTTTGGATCATGAAATTCAACACTAGAACTCAATTAGTTAAATTAATAATTATTAAATATCAACTATGATAATACAGAAATGTAATATACACGAAACACTAGTGTAGTATTATTTTAATTCCACCGGTTTGAAAAAGTAAAATTTACAATGAATTGCAAGAATCGTTGGTGTAATCAGGCGTAAACAACTATTTTAAAATTATTTCATATTTTTGTCAAAAAATGTAGTTTTATTATAAATGAACTAACTGCCTCTTCTTGTTTCAAAATGTGTATAGCGATTAAATAAATAATTATTGTTCACTTCATTATTGAACTTGTTTACGTTTAGTGTGTACAAAAATAACTCGTTCACGTTCAAGTTCTATGAAAAAATGAACGTGTTCATTTATATTTTTTATTTTATATTTATAAATCATCAACCTACATTCTGGACTTTTACAAAATGTTTTAAGTTTATTTACATTATGTTTGAAATTTATACTTAAACATATTATAATCAATATTTATTATTTATACATATATTTTTAAAATGGTAAATAAATTTGAACGCTTCAATAATCGTTCAGATTCATTAAAAATATAAACATCGTTCGCATTAACGTTCTATTTAAAAAGGGGATTATTGTTCATAAAATATGAACGTCAGCGTGTAAACATGTGTTCACGAAGGACGTTTTTTCAAACACTGTAAATTATTTACAGTAAATAATCAAATTCAAATTTGATGCATAATGATTGATTTCATTGATGAAAAAGAAATAAAAAATAAATGTTAATATTCGGTTATAATATAATTATTGGAAAAGGTAAGTCGAATATGATCAATACTCTTAAAAAAAAGTAACTTGTATTTAAAGAAAAATGAAAAATTAAGTGTAAATATTTCTGTTCAAATTGATGGAAAAATAGAAACGAATACAAACAAATTAAGAAATAAAAATTTTAAATTGTAAACAATCGTCTTCACGTACGAATGTATCAATATGTTTTTCGTTGGATTATAATCAAATTGTTCAGCAAAAAAAAAGAAACCATATATTTAAGTACGATTTTCGTGGAAATGTTATTCTATATGGTATATATACTTAGTCGCAGAAAACTCTGCCAAATTGTTGCACATGGTCCATATTCAGATATTCGGTAAAATATTGTTATTGGTTTTTTTTTTTTTATATAAAATAATCATAAATGCGCATATAATTTATACATGCATAAGATATATATTCATAATAATAATTTGATGATAATTTACTGGATTGTGAATTTAATGCACTTAAAACAGAAAAAATATGGACTGAAAAGTTCTAAAATATGCTATAAATATTAAAAAAAAAAATGTCTTTATTAAAAATGTAAATATTGAAATTAACAACTAAAAATTATTTATAAAATAAAATTTTTGTATTTATATATACAATGATTAATTGATCTTCTAGCCTATTGCCATCTAAAAAATAGGAAATATTGAGCACATTATACTATAAATTAAATAAGTATTTAATTATACATTGAAAAATATATTAAATTAAATTTATTTTATTAGCTTTTTCTTATGCAAAATCAAACAGTACATTTTTGAATTCAAGATTTTTCATCACTTCTTTTTCAATAGAAATTGTAGCAAGATCATTTAATCTTATTTGATTCATAAAATACCTCAAATAGTTGTTTATTATTTTTAATTTAGAAAAGCTTCGGTCGCCTAATGCGATCGATACATGAACTGTTAAAACAATTCGGAGTGCTACGGTTAGTTTAGCTACGATATAAAATTGTTATTATTTATAATAAACTGTAACATTTCTAATGGGAATATAAATCGATTTGGTTCATTCGAAATTTGCTACCTTTAAGTTAGTATCACATTAGGTGGCTGCCTATTTTTCTACCACAATGGGCCGGCCCTGATATTAATTTATGTAGACTATCCTTTTAGCTATAGATATTCAAACTATTAAATTATTTATGTTTATTTAAATTTATAGTTGTTATTTCTCGTTAATAATAGTTCTAGTTTGGCCTTTTAATAATTTACACGAAATACGAAATCATATTTTGCATATTCTTGCATATTTAGGGGTTATGGTATATAAATAGATATTTTCATAAATTCATATTTTTAAAATGTTTTTAATTATTTATTTATTAATTTAATAGTTTAAATATCTATAGCCCAAAGGTAGTCTAAAAATTATAATATTATGTGTTCAATATTTCTTTTTTTTTTTTTAGATGACCACGAATTAGAAGATTATTTATTCTTTATCTATCTAATATATATAAATAATTTTTGGTTATTAATTTCAATATCTACTTTTTAACCAAGAAATTTTTAAAGAGCATTTTTAAAATATTTATTGTATATTTTGGAATTTTTCAATACATATTTTAAACACTTTTGGAGCTTATTAAACTCACAGCTCTGGTAATTACAAAATATGTATTTAATATTCTTATACAATAATTAAATATATGTATACCTACTAATATAAATATAAGATGCCCCTTGTATATTTAAACATTGAAAAAAAACTAATTTATAATATAACATATATGTACAATAAACAATATGTACATAAACAAGTATGTGAACGATATGATAATAAATTATGATACTACAGTTTAATTATTCATACATTTTTCTATAAAAATGTATGTTTCGACAAAATCATTGACTATTGATAAAGTTCATTGTCAAACATGTTTTCGTCATGGATTTATAATACAGTTGACCTCGACATCGCAGCATTCGTAGAATATTGTTATCTTATTTTTGCATTAGTGTTTACCCACTTGGCTATGTGTATCCTGACATAGCTATGTATATCCAATTTGTATCCACTGCATAACAATACATACGCAATTGACAACACCCGAAAATGCATTTAATATTGTCTTCGTTTTATAAAAACAGCTTTTTTTCGGCTGTATAATCAGAATTAAGAATAACATATGACAAAAAAAAAAGAAAAGAACGTAATACAATGCGTCGTGCGTATATTTGCGTTTTTATCTAAAAATATTAGCACTAAAATGGATTTTGATTAAAGAAGTTGTATGAAAATGAAAACACTTATGTACTAATAT